CATCATCATCATCACCATCATCATCATCACCATCATCATCACCATCATCATCATCATCACCATCATCATCATCATCACATCATCACCATCATCAACATCATCATCATCATCACCATCATCATCATCATCACATCATCACCATCATCACCATCATCATCATCATCCACCATCATCACCATCATCACCATCATCATCATCATCACCATCATCACCATCATCACCATCATCATCACCATCATCATCATCACCATCATCACCATCACCATCATCATCACCATCATCATCATCACCATCATCATCATCATCATCATCACCATCATCATCATCATCACCACCATCATCATCACCATCATCACCATCATCACCATCATCATCACCATCATCATCATCACCATCATCACCATCATCATCATCATCATCACCATCATCATCATCACCATCATCATCATCACCATCGTCATCATCATCAGAACCTCCTGACCCGTCCTGACTGAAGTGTTTGGGTCGGACCAGCAGAACCAGAGTGGTCCGGTTACATTTGGTCCCTCTGGTGGTTTTATAGTTTGGATGCAGATGTTTGTTGTTGTAATTTATTTCCAGCTGTGTTTTCTGTTGTAAATGTTTGTTTGTTTGTTTGTTTGTTTGTTTGTTTTTTAAGAAAACACCAATAAAAGATGGAGGTGAAGATTCTGCTGAGTCCTGTCAGTTTCATCAGGTTTAATTTTTTTTTTTTTCTCAAATTTGATTTATTTACTGCGTTTGTTGGAGAGAAATTTGTCCAAGAAGCTAAAAGATCAACAATATGCTACAAACAACATGACAAAGGCTGACATGCATAAAAGGGCTTGGACCCCGGTCATAACTGCTTTGCAGTTCTAGTTATTATTATTATTATTATTCCATCACTTCTTATTCATTGTGGTAGAACTAATACTAAATACAAATACTAATACAAAACTATTAATTACTTTAAAGTGTCCGTGACATGCCTGTCGTTCAAATACAAAAAAAAGTCAAAGAAAACACATTTTTATATAAGAAACATTGAATAAAACATGATTTAACCCATTTTTGTCTCATAAATGACATATTTTGTTTTGAACTTGGCTCAAAGTGAAACAGGAAGTGACATCAAAGGTAACAAAGAAAACTCTGGTCTTTGTTTATTGAAACATTATTATTTGAACTCTTCTTCATCTCTGATAGAAACTCAAAATAATCTAAAGACGAGATTCTTCTCTACAGTCTGGGTCCTTGGCCTTTTTATCACCGCTCTGTTTCATGCAGATGTTCCCCTCTGACATCACTTCCTGTTACTTCACATGCAAATGTCTCAACAACTGTTCATGTCAGCAGTGGTAAATTATTGTTTTCCAAACATCCCTTTATATTTGTTTATAAAATGTCATGTCACGTGCACTTTAAACTGTCACCTGCACTTCCTTTAGATTTTAAAACCTTTAACTTAGGACAGTTTTCCTTCAAAATTAAACTGTTCACTTTAAAGTTTGTCCTTAAAACTTGTTTATGTTGAAGAGAAAAATAGTGATAATGTATTATTTACAACACATTTAAACTGTTTTCACTATTTAACAGCAGATTGAATTAAATAGAATCAAATTGATTTAGAGAATTGGACCTGATACCAGACCTACAGAACCCTGTGGCCCAGCCTGATCATTACTTTGACTTTTAGACTTTCAGTAGTTTTAAATCCAGTACTTTTATACTTGAGTAAAAAGCTTGAGTTGATACTTCTACTTCCAAAAAAAGGTATTTTTAAACCCTAGTATCTTCAGGTCCTTCTGAAAAAATAAGCATATTGTGATAAAGTTCATTATTTTCTGTAATGTACTGATAAACATTAAACTTTCATATATTTTAGATTCATTGCACACCAACTNTCACACCTGTATGACACACAGGTCACACCTGTTTGACAGACTGTAGCAGGTGGAGCCTGAAGATGACCGTGGCTGAAACAACTTGTTTCGTCAGTTAATCCAGAATGTTCAACATTAACATTTTAATTTAACATTACATCATTACTGACTGTATTGTTATTGAACATAAAAGTTAACAGAAACATTACAAATATACAGTTTTCATACACTCTAAAGAAGTGGGTAGAAGTATATTTATATTAGCCCACCTCTTCTCCTGCAACCTTATT